AGGGTATTTTTAATTCTCTTTCTCGTTGACTTACCCTCGACCGGTATTGAAATCGTATAAAGACTAGTGACGAAGTCGGCGCGAGACGTTAAGAGGCACCCGCTCCCTATTCGCAATATGTGCTACGAGTATGTAGGTTGGGGCCGTACAAAGCATAATAGCTCCCTCTGTAGAGGCTCCGGTCAGCATCTAACAATGTATTGAACCGAATTGTAGTGACGTATGTATGACATTGTCATTGTTAGAGACTGTTCTCGAGGCTTTGATGAAGGTTTGTACCAGCAAATATAAACAACTATACTACAACTTGTCAAACATCATTACTGCGGGGATACAAAATTTTGAGAGCCAATCAAAAGACAGTTCCATCAGAATACAGGTCGGGCAGCCGTCAATGCCTCCCGTAAGTAATTAAACTACTTTGATGATTGCCAAATCTACGGCTGCGCGCCTGTCGCTGTATAGTTAACTTATGCATTATGTATTCGAATTTTAAACAGTTCCGTCTACAACGAGCGAGCTGCTAGTGTGTAATTAATTCTGTTCATTTTCAACTTGGAGGTACTTTTTCAATTTGCATCATCGCACTGTGCTACCATAGCCATGCAACCCTCGACAAAATTCTGATTTATGTTTAAATTGTGAATTATTTTAAAAGGGTAAAGTTGTGATTCATTATGAAGCGTTTGCATTCTTAATTAAATGCAGGTGTTCAGTGAGCGAGCGCAGCTTTGTAACGAACACGGAGGCGGGAGACGAATTAGTAATGCTCCCACGGTTTGTTTAGGCGCGACTGAGTATTTATATTAGGTACTATGTCGTATGTCACACGTGTCTTTATGTACATTACAGTACGTCCTTACACATTCTACACATTCGCAAACAATGAGTGATTTTCGTCGAAACGTGAGTCAAGCTAAGCTCTTCACTAAGTACATACTCAGCTCGCACTCAAGGCTGTAGACACAGTTCACGAGATAATGGGTCGGTGCGAGCCCGCAACACGTAGCCGGTCAAATTATGCGATTTGGTCGTACGCTGCTCCCGGCCGCCTAGATGAAAGGCTTACTCCTATATACCGCCCCAACCCTGCCATAAAGGCTTATAGCGAAATACTTGTGGATTCGTGCGTGATATAACAAAAACCTTAATCTAAATTTTACATACTAAATACACTCAAACCAAGGTCAAATACATTTATTTTCTTTTTTTGGGGTTAAGTCCGGGTTTCATGTTTCAACTTACCTATATTATTGTAACAACAATTAATGTACACATTAATGTAATAAAGTCTTTGAATTTTTGGTACTATCTAACGGTAAGCGATGATGCAACTTACGATGGAGCGCGCCTTAAAGACACCCAGGATATACCCATCCGAGATCAAAGATTTTTGAAGCGGACTAAATTTCTAAATCTTATTCACAACAGCACCGCTAAGAATAAATGAGAACTAATACTTTCCTAGGAATATAATACATGTTGGCTAATAACTAAAAAGCTACGGACTCTTGTAGCAGAAAATAAATAATAACCTTCAGGTAGTTTCTGTACACGTCAACTAAAAGTTGTTGCGAGCGCCAGACGACCGAGTACTACGCCGTAGCTACGTAGCTCGCTGCTACGACAAGTTAGTGGCACGACCGATTGTTTGCCGTTTTGCACACGACACAACGTGTATAGAGCCGTCAAAATTTTAAACACATTAGTGGTTTGCTGGTAAGTTGCTAAAATGAACAGCTGTTTCATCGAGCTGCGCTACTGCACATGTATAACAAGAACTCGCAACTGCTGAAGTTAGAGTTCGAAAACATTGAACATTTGGGTTGGCGTGTTTTCCACTCTCAATTAATCTTCTTCAGCAATAAACGCCACAGAATTTGTAACGCTCCTTGGATCGTACTTACGTAAACTTTTCTTGAGTAATGATGGCTGGTAAGGTTCGATCGTTCTAAAAATGTACGTCTCGTCAAGTAATTGGTGTTGGCTCGATGAGAGCGCCAAACCCTAACTATATTAAGTAGTAGATGTTTAGCGGTGCCGCTACTTCAACACTTACGATGACGATGTTCCTCACTGTGAAATTGCTTTAATATTTAGTGCAAAACTTGCCTGGAAACTTTACCTAATGAAGTTAACTAGTTTCACTATCGCCCGCTCCTGAGGTACGAACATGTATGGAGCGTTAGAAATATTATTCTAACTAAATAAGTAATAACCAGAGAACCTCTGCAATATAAAGGAAAAGGATCAATTTACAAGTTAATATTGCATAAAATATGGGCTCTAGTATGTTTTATAGATTTATTTCGGGTTTGATATTCACACCTCAAATAGTATATACGTCGAATATTTGAAATATTTACGCGGCTTAGTCTAAGTGTCTCCTGCAAAATGTAAATATACATATACAGACCTGGAAAAGACAACATAAGGAGATATTGGAGAGATAAGGGAGGGTTTAACACAAATAAATGTAGTATTCAGTGAATGCATGACACAGTAGTTTCGTGGCTTCGTGGTTACATGAGCGTAATGTGTGCGGCCGGGTGTGAAGAGCATTAAAGTGGATTTAGGCGAGATTCAGCCCGTCGGTGATTTAGATTTATTCGCATGTAGTTCCGACCGGCCGCGCTCAAACTACCTTAATGTGATTTCTGAACGGAATCCACATAAGTCTCGCGAGTGTATGGCGGCGCGCGGCCCGGCAGTAGCGCGGGAAATCCGTTAAATTACTTTACTACTTTTGTGCACATTGTCTAACTGTTGTTTTTATGTGTGTTTAGCAAATATTTGGGTTTGTTTTCATGTACTTACCCTACACACTGAACAAAATTATACGTTTCTTTTTTCGTTAGAGTGGTGCTAGCACGAATGCTTATTCAGGTTCGATTTTTAGGGCGGAAAGAAGTACTGATATTTTTTGATTTACCTGTGAACATTTTGTAAAACCATTTGTTCAAAAATTTAATTATTGGATTTGTAGCAAGAGGGTAATCCTAAATGCAGTTTAATGAAATTATTAATATTTAAATTTACAATCAAATAAACAGTTAAATTAGGTCATAGTTACTTCATTATTTTATGCCCATATTATTTGGATTCTTATTATTTGGATGGATATAATAATGTTACACAAAAACTAGTTTCAGGACTAGGAATATTTCCAAGAAAGTGCTGGGCATTTTGACCGCGGCTTCGGCTCTACAAATACTATTACGCCGGAGTAGTGACCACTAACCACTGAAAGAACCTAATTTCATCCTCGGCCGTCCGCCCAACCCTGACGCAATATTTCAAAGTTATAGTTTTCTATGTTCTATAATGAAAATTCTTGGCATACCTTATAACTTACACTGGTTTTTTTGTCGAGACTTTGTTCACGCGAATTATACAGCTTCACGCAGACTTCGAGTCTTGGGCTCATCAGCTTTCTCAAAGTCTACGGTCAGTAGTCAAATTTCATGGAAATTGATTCTGCTCTTTGTGGATTGCAAGAGATTTCGCAATTAAAATGATCTACATCATACATTTCAAGTTTTTCACGAAAAGTTCCAGTTTTCGACAACGTACACAAGTCCGAGAGTTTACTCGCATAGTTTTTATTCTTGTAGAATTTCGGAATGAAAACTTTCTTGAGTCTCAAACAATCCTTGCACCAAATTCCATCCATTTCAGTTCAGTGGTTTAAAAGATAAAAAGTCTCAGAATTTTGCCAGATAGTTTCCTCTCTTGGGATTTCCGGGTAAAATATATCTTACTCTCTTTCAGAAGCTACTAAAGTTGAACTAAATTTCATCCAAATTAGTTGATTGGTTTAAAAGATAGAGTGTTCGGGAAATTTAACGAATAGTTCTCGTTGCCGATGAAAAAAAGTGTGTCACGTGTCACTTTTCTGTAATATGGGTTTTTTTATATGTAGCTTCTTTTGACAATTTTGGCTTTTTGTGGAAAGATCGACTTGGAGTAAACGTGGCGTTTAGGGTAGGTTAGGTTTTGTTATAACTATGAAGCAATTTTTTGTTGATTCCTCAGTATTCCACGTAGCTTTTGAGTGTATTGCAGTTAAATAGTTTTCTTTTCTTGGAAGTGAAGGTAGACCACCTGCCTTGAAAGCCCCTCTTTCCCTTTTCACCGAGATAAAATGTAGAGTACATCCTGTAACTGGATAGACACTACATATATAACAAAAACCATCATATTATTCCCTTCCTTGGGTCACAAACGTCAACTGTATCACAATTTATCCAATCCTATTGAGTGGTTAAGGCGTAAATTGACTGACAAAACTCAACAACTTTGTTATAAATATATATTTTTTTAAGTAATGGGGCCTCCTTAGTTTTCTGTGCTAGTTATTGTCACATTTAAAATGTGATTTTCAAAAATATTTACTTAACTCAAAAATAGAATTATAGGATTCGGAATATTGATATAAAAAAATATATATCCCCGTTTTGTGATTCTTTTGAGCAGTTAGGAAAAGATAAGGCTAAGGAATAACTATCTTCCACACAAGCTTTGTCCCCACTTTTGGGAAAAATCCCTTCTATCTGATGCCTTCGTTACATTGTTTTAAATTTTTACTTTCAGCGGTTTGAGCTTCAACGTGATTCTTATTTCGTAATATTTGCATTACAATTTACCATTCCAAAGAATTCTTTGTCTCTTACAAAGAGAAACACTCTGCAATCTTATACATAAATCTCTTCGTACCTTAATCTTTTAGCACTAAAAGAACTTTAAAGTGTTTATTCTAACCCCGTCTAGAACAGAACAAACACTGAAAACTTTTTACAGTTAAAGAAAACTCAGAGCACTGGCTTACTAGGTAGCAACCAATTTAGTTGATCAAATCTTATTTTAAGCAATTTTACCGAGTTTGTGAGCAACTCCTTAGTTTCTAATACCTGTACCGTTTTACGTAGATTGTAGTTAAATGTGTTGATATAGGTACGTAAACTATTTCTTCATCGAAGCCACAAATATGTATTTGGGTTCTAAATAAGAACAATCACGCTGTGCGCCACTGACGCGTAATTACATTCCTTTGTGCTGGTCGTGGGTGTAGCGCTGCGCACTCTCCGCTTCGCTTGTTCTGTTTTGCTCCCGCCACTGCCACGCGCCGCCCGTTCCAGCCGACACTCGCCGCGCACATGTGACTTCAGCACGGCCATTGTGGCCGGCCCATTGTGTTCATCTGTCGATACCAAATAAAAATACTAAAGGCCAACAATTCTACGTCTATTCAATCCTTAATTAATATCGGTTCCAAACAAAATCGACCTTTCTTCTCCACCTAATGAAACACATTTTCATTAGGTATATGTGAAAGAAAATGAAATAAAATTAATTTAGTTCAGTAATGGATTACATTTGCACAAGTCGAACAACGAATTAGAAAAGGTTGTTCCCAAGGTGATGATAAAGTAAAGGCTTACACCTGCCGTTTGCCGACAGCAATTAGAGTTGTATTGTAAATAGCGGGTTGAGGCAACAAGTGGGTCAACCAGGGCCGCGTCCTCCCCCTCCCGCGTCACGCACCCCGTGCACCTCACTAGTAGGTCATGAACGCTCTGTTCATGACCCATTTTATCTCAAAAATCTCCGCCAGTAACGCTAATCGAAGCGGACGGCCGTGTGCTCAACGTGCTACTAGTTGCGCTGCTACTGCAAATCTGCTAGGCATTAGGTATTTAGTTCTGCGATAACTAGCACCAACATTAATTTATTATAAGCAAGAATTAAAACATTTAACAACTTATAGTATTATTCCAATAAAATTGCGTTTATTTAAAATTAAGGTTATTGTAAAGTGCACAATGATAACGACTTAATAAAAAGTAATTAATAGATATGTGTGTTTTTTTTTTCGTGATACGAATAAATATACTTAATACCCTATTTACACACTATATACACAGTTCAATGGTAGTTAGGTATATACTAAAATGAAGATTGATTCAGTGCAGATACAGGTAGTATAGTTTGACACCAAACCCGGCCCATGGTTTGCAAAAGATTTGGCTTCATTAAACTGTATAACATAATGGAGCCTATTTAATTGTTCCACTAAGTTATATATTTAGTTGTATATGCAATGGGTTAAACTTTATATCCTTATATGCTAAATACACAAAAAGATTAAAGATAAATATTTAAGGTATTTAAGGTAGAATCAAATTTTCTTAGTACGAGAAAACATGGGGTAATTTATAAAACAGTGTAATAAATACAGTATTATCGTCGGGTCTATTCATTCTACGCGAGAAACGGTTCGCTGAGCCCTTTGGGATATGTGAATCCCAACTCATTCGTTTCAACCTTAGATATATAGAACAGTTACAGAATTTTTATAAATATTTATAAAGTTATTGTGTATTTATACTTCTGTTATTATTTTTCTTGCTTACTATGATTTTCTTAATAAAATAGGTAAGGATATATTTGATATTTGAGATTTACCTTTGATATTTCAAAAGTAATAAAAGTACGATCGTAATTTTCCATTTGATATTCCGCGTAGGAGCAAGCATAACCAAGTAAACGACTACAAAATATCGTTTACCCCAGGAACCACCGTTTACCGACGATAATATTTGATCCCATGTGATTTTATCGAATACATTTTTCAATAAAAACTCTTATTGATTTCTACCAAATATTAAGATAGCGTACTTGTGTAGCTATTCGTTTTTCGATAAACATTTCATGAAAATAAGCCTGCATTATTTAGATATAAATAAAAAACAGCTTCCTACCAATAGATAGCTATACCTACTTACTTAACTATCTCACGAATTAATTAAAGAAAAGTCTTAATTGACAATCAGCGCTTAGTGGTTCTCATCGGAAACTTGACAATAGCCTTTGTAATTGTTAGCAACGGCTTTCATTTATAATGCATCTAAGTGGAAAGCGTTCGGTCTCGAGCGTGGCTCGAATCCAATAACTCGAGAATAGAAGGCGAGAAGCCGGTAGGTTGGCCGCGGCTAGCAGCGCTCGCTCCCAGGAGAATGCGTTCTGCCAGATGCTTCTCAACTTCCCTGATACTCATGAATATTGTATAATCTATATCTATTGTGTTGAGTCATGCTTTTACTTATAATTAAAATATTATTTGCAATCTTATAAACTCGAGTAGGAGCAGGTATTTTAGAAAAAAACGCATCAGAATTTGTCTTTCTAACTATTTTTTTCGAGCTTACGAATTTACGACAAGGTTTCCGACGATTTAGTATAAGTATCCTTCCTTATTTTGTACAATAGGTTAGGCTATTGATAAAATATTTTGATTGTGTCACAGTATATAGTAGATTATCGTGTTTTTATCTAAGAAACCGAAGTTTGATCAAGTCAAACTCTATTGACGCAGTTCACTCGGACATATGTAGGTACACTGTTCAGAAAGTCCATTAAAGTTCTGCAGAAAATTCACTGAATGACTTTCCAGTAAATCTTTCACAGGTTGAAATTTTACGATATGTGCGGTTGAAGCATATATTTTATGTAGAATCTACGATTTTATTCACGAAAAAGTGATTTACAACATAGATGTTACATGAAGCTAGGGTTCAATATAAATATAAACGTATACGAGGTATTCTATTAAATATATTACAGTTTTCTACTATTTATTTAATAAGCTTTGACAGTCAAAATTTATATGAATAAAAAGTTTTGTTGCATGCTCGACTCATTTACTAAATGCCATCAAATAGGTTTTTGGTACAACTAAAATTATCGACAAAGCCCAAAGGATTAGCAAACTGAAGTGGCAGTGTGCAGGTCACATCTGTCGAAAAACCGATGACCGCAGGGGTAAACGTGTTCTAGAGTGGAGACCACATAGGCCAACGTAGTGTAGGGCGCCCTCCAGCTAGGTGGACTGACGACATCCGCAGGGTGGCTGGCAGTGGTTGGATGAGAAGAGCTGAACATCGAGCTCAGTGGCGTGTAATTGGGGAGGCCTATGTCCAGCAGTGGACGACAACAGGCTGATGACGATGATGAGGTTTTTTGGTTGCATTTGGTAAATGCAAAACTATGACCCGGCCTATTCCCGCGCAGTTAACCTCGCACCCGCACTAAGGATTTAAATCGCGGACCCTTCATGATATTTTGAACCTTAAGGCCCCAACCGCCTTACAGCGGTATGACAACTTTGTAAACAAAGACACCAGATACAAACGGCCGGTCTTGCAGTTTTTTCCTACAACTGCCGTTAACCTTTAAATCAGGCATTATCACACTTTTACATTGAGCATTATATCCAATCACTCCTCATTTTCATGAATTTTGGCTTAATCACAGGCTTTATTTCAAAATGCAAGAAATAAAATTCTATAAGAGATTGGTTGGAATATAAGGAAACTTTTTAATGAACTGTACACATTCGTGGCGAAGTACATAAATACTTTCGAGTCGCGTAGTTCAAAACCGTCTCTTAACTACTTACTTATAGCGGTACAGTCACCTTCCTTCCTGAGTTCCTGTGCTCCGTGTTCGTGCGCCCATTTCGCTACGTCCGCCTGGAGGTCGCTTTGTTGACGGTAACACAGTTCCTTCCACCTACCACTCCCTATTGAATACAATTTCTAAAGCATTTAACACATCTTTATTACAGACTTTCATATTTTACGATCAAGAACCAATTAGCCAGAAGTCTATTAAGGTAGTTCGGATGCTTTACCACTTAAAATTATGTAGCGTCCCGTTCTGTGGCTTTCATCTTGTAGACAAATGATAGCATCACTAATTCAAATCTATTTCAACTTGTACGTAGTCATTAAATAAAAAGTTTAGAAACAAGTTGCGAGCGAAGCAATAAAAACTCTCCGTAGTCTAGTTCGGGCGACTACAATATTGATTTTCCCCTCTCTGATGTATTTCATTCTCCATCTGTTGCTCTCCATAAAATTTACGACAGTATTACTGAGTCGTTATTTTTGTATGAAGAGTTTTATCGCCGCGTGGCGTCGCTTTCCACGACATGAGTTCTTTTTCAACACCAAGTGTTTTTATTGAGTTTACTAATTCACGACATTTTTATTCCGATTGCTATACGAAAAATAAAAGTGTTACTAACCAAGATTTATTTAAATACTAAGGCGTATCTAGGTCCGTATAAAAATATGTAGTGCCTATTATACACACTAATGGTTGAAAATGTTGTTGTAGATGGTGGCGACAGACGACTCATCAAACACGGTGCCCGGACACATAGAGTCGCCGGGAACCTTCGGCAAACTGCGACAAACGCTCTCGTCCTCTCTCCTTACTGCTCAGGACAAAGGTAAATACAACCATTTCTGGTAAGACTAGCACGAAGAAAGGTAGTTTTACTCTAATTTAAGGACCAAGAACCCAAAGACCATCCGCTAATTGGATTTAATTAAGTAAACATTTGCGTTAGAAAGTCCCACTTTGTATGGCGTACTAACATTGTACGACCTCATAACAACACTAATAATGTCAGAGGTAAATAAATTGTTAGACTTGACGCGAAGTTACATAACCGAGGTCCAACTTATGTAATATTTGAATTACGAACTGGATATATTAAGAAACTGTTTCAATGTTTGTACTTATACGTACGAACTCAACCAACTGTTTGGCAACTTTATTCTGGTATAGTTAACGGTAAATGAAAGTGGTCCTTATTTCAAGTACCTAATAGAAGTTGTACAAATGGTTATAAGGATGACTGAAAGTAATAATTTTTGGTTGGTTTCACTTAATCATTACATTACATTTACATAATCATATTAAACGCGAAGATACTTCAAAAGAAAAAAGATACTTAGATACTGGCTCATAAAAAATGTTTTCAAATAAAATACAAAAAGATTATTTTTAAGAGGTTTTTAATATTTTATAAAGAAAATCCACCAGTTTTTTTTCTATTAAGCTAAATACCAATTCAGAATCGTATAAAAGAAGTTCGATAACAAAATACGAAAATAATAGCATTGAAGTCAAGTCTGATATAAAAATATCAAACACTTCCAAAACGATTAGCCTAAGAATACCCATTCAATTCCCCTTTTACAGCATCTAAGTTGAATGAAAATAGAACAAATTCCTTAAGTTGAAAAGCGTTAAATCGATCTGAGAAAAACATTTCTTTATAATCTGTATTCGTGTTTTCATTTCACTTTAAAACTTCAAAAATACGATTCTCTATTTTTTCTTTCTTTTTATGTAAACGATCGGCAAACGAGCAGACGGATTACCTGATGGTAAGCAACCAGCGCCGCCCATGGACACTCGCAACGGAGTAGTTACGAGTGCGTTGCCGACCTTTTAGGGATTAGGGATTGAGGAGGGATTGGGGGAGGGGAAGCATTGGGCCTCCGGTAACCTTACTTACATGGCGAAACACGACGCTGTGGTTGTTTCACACCGGTTTTCTGTGAGGCCGTGGTATCACTCCGGTCGAGCCGACCCATTCGTGCCGAAGCATGGCTCTCCCACACTTAAATTTTCGTTGAAATCTTTTTGAAGAAGATGTATTTTTAAATTGATGGACCATGATCCAAAATAGTGTGTTCCGAGTTAAAGCAACATTAAATGAAACATTTAAGTACCTAATAATTTCAACATATATTTTTTACCAATTTTTGCACAATATACAATGGCGAACTTAATGCCTTAGGCTTTGTCTACCTCTGGGTGGTGGAGAAATAGAAGTGGTATGTTTAACACTGTTGGTTATTTACTAGGAAAGAAAACACTTTACTTTACGATTATTACTCAGGCATAAGTATGATATTGAGTAGGCGAGTTAATTATATTTGAAATGCGAAAGTTTGTAAGTATTGATAGATAAATAGATATATTTTGTAAATCTTTCAAACATCGGAATTGACCTGAAATAAATGTGGTACAGCGATAAATTATTATCGAGAATAACTCATAACACATAGGCAAGAAATTTGCCCAGGTACTGTGAACGAAACCGCTGGTAAAAACTAGTTACATTACATAACTCACTTCGGAGTATGTATTTTACTGTAAAGTATCTGACGTAAAAGGGAAGCAGATCTTTATTCCACTCCCTTCTAATTTCAGTAGAAATTCTAAATATTGAGTTATACGGAGATAACGAGAGCGCAGGTATTTCTAGGTATTCTTGAAAGCCAGCCGGTGCACGAGCTAAATATAGTGCATACCTGCGATTCTGACTAACGCCTACACGACTCAGTCACCGAATTGAATTACCTCTATAACTTGCGTAGGAAGATGAAAATAATAGGTGCTGCTATTTCAGTATTTTGCAGTTATTTAAGCTCAAAATACAACATTCTCACAGTCGCACACAAAAATATTACTTAGTTTATTACTGAATTTAATTCAGTAAGTACCATTGTATTTTTCTACTAAAACCCTGCAGAATATTTACGCCTCTGCTTTAAATATTTATATTAGTAACTAGCTTCTCTCACGCGATTTCTCCTGCTGCTCGGCTCCATTTAATTGTAGCGTGATGTTTTGTAGCCAATAGCACTCAGGAATATTGTAGCTACCTATCAGTGAAAGAAGTTTGGCAATCCGACCAGCGGTTCCAAAGATTACCCCCTACATACAAACTTAGAAATTTTACGTCTTTATAATATTAGTGTAGACAACAGGGACTTAAAAATCATAAAACAAATGTTTGAATGGATTCATTCGAAATTATATATTATGTGAGTTTGTGTACCGTTAAACTGGTTTTAAGATTGATGTACACAAAGTTAACCCATGAGAATTCCAAGCGGGAGGGTGCTGGAAAATCAACATTCCGGTCGCGATCTCTTTTGGGTTCGAAAACGTACCTACCCGGCCGTTATCTCTCTCGACAACCATATCCATTCTTCATGTCAGCAAAAATCTGTTTATCGAAGGCTACGGGGAACGATGTACAGAAAGTAATACTCACAATAAATACGAACCTTGATTGTTTACAAGAATCTTTTCTTACATTTTAGTATACCTAGTATAAAGTTACTTATTTTATGCAGCTTTATCCAATTTTTATTTCTCCATAATCGTTTGTAAGTATCGATAAATGATTTTCATAAATCACGATAAATGGAATTCTGATAGAATAGCAAGTCAGTTCTCGGGAAATAATTAATTAAAAATTGGAGTGAAGATTGGAGCGGTGTTATGTGCTGGTTCCCTAAGGCCGTTATTACCCTTATTTATGTTAACCTCACGCCCCACAACACAAGTAGTTAACATAAACCTCCTCATACATACGATTACTCTATAATTTAACTTACATTGAGAAGGAAAAGAGCAAATAAATTATTGTATGACTATACAAACGTTTTGAATTTTAAAGGTATTATCAATGTTAAAAACAGACTAATATAAGTATAATGAATTTGTACCTAACCTTAAATTTGTTTAAATTTTACTGTATCCATGTTCAAAATTCGATTTTGAGTGCAAGACAATGTGGGTTGGCACTAAAAGTTCCTTCTGGCAAAAGTTTGCAATGGAATTCTGGATGTTAATATTCACAGCGAAATATCGCGAGGTTTGCATCTCACAGGCCAGGGGAGATCAGGGAGGTACGCATTGTTAGTAGATTCCTACTTGGAAGGTAGACACAAGCTGCCGACTTATTTGAATTCCCATCGTTTCATTCCAATTCAATATTTCTTAACAATGATCTGAATGTAATTTTAGTTTGAATGACTTCCCGTTCCCGTTTTAGAATTCAATCTTAATCCAATTTGGAAGTATTCTTGGTTCTAGTTTTGAAGTTGGAGAGGCGGTCCCTTAGAATGGATGGTAATTTGTGTTGTTTCAGTAACAAAATTGGGTCCGCGACAAGTCGCGCCGGAGCCGGCCCCGGAGCCTACACCGGCGCCACCGCCTGCTCAACCGCCGCCCACTGCTGCACAAATAGCTAAGACTGAACGGTATTACAACAATTTACAAATATTAATTTCTTTACAACTTTGACAACTTCACATCTTTGTTACGATTCTTATCGTAACTTATAAAACTCATTCAAGTTTTTTATGTAAAAAGTTTAAGATTTAATTTTGTTCTTCTTTATCATTTCATTGCTTTTCATTAGTTCAGGTTTTATTTAGACTTAATGTTTTTTTCATTTATTATAATTTTTATTTTTCATGATAGTCTAATCTATGAGTATTTACAGTGAGGCTGGCAAAGCGCCGTCACGAGCAGGGGCGTGCCGCGTCTGCCTAAAGGCCCTGAAGCCTGGGGAGGTGTACCATACGTGCAACGGCTGCCAGCACCGCGTCTGTGAGGACTGCTCATCCTACTCAAAGCCGGCCAGCGATGAAGATGCAGTAATATACCTACAATAATAATAATTTCCATTCCAAAACTTTTCTCTTTTCAGATTTTTTGTAATACCTAATGGAAAACATTGCGAAACAGCAAAAATTGAGTATCATTATGCATCATTACATTCGAAGGTACGGAAATGATAATTTTAAATTTATTTAGAATTCATGGCGCTGCTCGGTATGCCGCCGTAAGGCCGCGCCTCGCCTGCCCCCGGCTGCACAAGATAGCACTGACTCATTACTGGACGTCCCTGTACTGGAGGCTCTGCAACGTCGTCACTCGGAAGCAAGACTTGGCAGCGGTGGCAGCAGTGCCGGCCTAGCACCTCCACGGTCACCTGAACTCAGACGGCATTCAGATGTATCACCAGCTTCGCTCAAAGAACTAGAAAAGGTAATGTTGCTTTTGCTTTTACTTGAACATCTTCAGTGGCATACCCCAATTTCTGAACATGCCAAATGTGAGAGTCAGACATTATTTATTTCGATTTATCTCCATAACATGTCAATGTATTAGTGTAATATCTCCTTCTTCATTCATATTCACTCAAATTATGAAAGGCGACTTACAAGAAAGTTACTGATACTGACTAGACAGACGTTCAGAACTCATGGCTATGTTAAGCTAATAAGTGTAAGTGGTATATTATGTGGAGTGTGAGTTCGTAACCACGCTGCCCGCGGCGGCAGTTAAAGGGCGGCGGCAGTACTACGCCGACGGTGGAGTCGCGTCGGCCGAGCACCGTGACACCAGCTCGGCGCCGCTCTGTGCGTGCCCCAAGACAACGTTCCTGCGACGAAGACCAGCCACACTCTCCTGCACACCAAGCCGCACCTCTAGCTCCGCCTAGTATTTCAAGGAGGTACAGTAACAGTATACGTAATGCTTACAAACAAAATCTTCTGTTATAAATATTCAATTTAGCAAAAAACCATAACGAATTAAAAGAGAAATCTCAAATTTTGAGAAATATTACTGTATTCATGGGCATGTCACGTTAACTAGGTAACATAAAGCAATTTAAAAAATTACGCTTTTTTACAAAACCGGGTTTTAGATCGTCAGCTGTAGACGTTGTTGCCGGAGCAACATCGCGTCGTGGTTCATATCGTACAGATGAACCAAGCTCTACTCCACAAATAGCTGCAGGCCTAAGTGTCGACGAAGACCGACCGATCAGGCGTCGAGGAAGCCAATTGTAAGTAAGAGGATATACATATTTTTATTGTGATAAAAATAATTTAAACCAAATATAATTATTTTTTGTAGGCCGGACATAGCAGCCTTACAACAAAAAACGGGAAATCTGGCGTTAGCAGCTTTGGCCTCTAGAAGTTCAGATACATCGTCAGAACCGACCGTCACAGTGTCGGCAGCCACCACCGCCGCGCTTGCAGCAGCCGCTCGTCAGATGTCAGTGGATGCAGAGGCTATAAAAATTGTCATCCATGATGTAGACGACCGCACACCGCGTCGTGTATCACTGCGTCGGGACCCCAACGACAAAGGACACCGATGTAAGTTTGAAAATTCTAATAAACTCCCAAATTTAAAACAGTTTAATTATGTTATACAAAGTAACACAATGTGATTATCGTATAGAATGGTGGTAAACTGTTTGTGATTTTTGCCTTTATCCACAATACACAACGCTCTGTCATATTGTGTGTCACATTTACAAAAAATGTGGTAAAGCGTAATCACCAAAATATAAGCTTTACAAAGATATGTAGGTTAGCTGTGGAAATGATTAATTACAGCTCGCGGTTTTGGTATGCGCGTTGTGGGTGGCAAGCCGGACGCGAGCGGGCGGCGCGAGGCTGTCATTGTGTGGACCGTGCCGGGTGGACCCGCCGACCTCGCTGGCCTACAACAGGGAGACAAGGTAACATAAAACATTTATGTTTGCACTAACAACGCACTCACTTCTGACGAAAAATCCATAATGTCATCATGCCAGGACTTTTTCAGTTTAAATATTGTGCCCGTGATGGATGTATGTACTCAAGACATAGAGGATTTCTAATGTAATATAATAAATACGCAAGAACATAAAATTTCCCACTTCACTCTTCTTATGTTATAGTTTTTGTCGTTTATACATTTCTACATAGAATAATTTTAAAATGGGGCCATTTACTTCGAATAGTTTTATTTTAGTTAAAAGTTTACTAATTCATAATTTCTTATTTTAAGACGATTTTAAAATAAAGAGATTAAAGTATAATTCGGAATATAAAACATATATCTGACTCTCTCTTGTACAGAATCAACTAAGTAAACCACAGCCATTAGCCTGAATAAAAGAAAAAGTTATCACCTATTCAATTATTCATTGTGTTTTCACAAAATTTAGTGTAAGCTATCTCCATTTTAGGCCGTTTCCCGTCTTTTATTCTCTCACGTCCGTAATGTTTTAATTAAAAATAGTAGACTCACAAATTCTAGTGAGAAACTGAGAACAAAAAGAGTGGAATTGAGATTATAAATTAGTACACACATGCTTTCCGCTATTCAGTTTGCATGGTAAATTCTTGTGTGAAGGTGTTGGAGTGGGGCGGGGTTCCGCTGACAGAGCGCAGCTTTGAAGAAGTATGCGCGGTGTTAGAGCGCGGTGGTGACAGCGTTGAGCTGCTTGTGGAGCCCGCTCCGCAGATGGAGGACCAACCCTCGCAGGCTAGCCAGCCCTCCATGCATCACCACGCGTTATACGGTACTTACCAAACATTATTATGTATATAATAATTAATATAAATCCACTACACATTATTTTTTAAGAAGCCGTGCGCTTATATAAGTGTGATTTAAGTTGTGCCTGTTGCATATATTCACACCATATTTAGATTTCATTTTAAATGCATTTGTTTCTCAAATAGTCAAAATATAATACCTATGACATTTCATAACTTAAAGTATGATCTATGACTTATTCGGAGCTTACGTGATAATGCACATAATTCAGTCATACAACATTAAAAGGACCTCTTCATTTCCACAAATATTTCAAAACAACGAATGTTGTAGTTACAATCCAATATTGCTGCATTTAATGCACGATACTCAATTCACATAAAGTATTTTTGTTAAAACCATTTTCTTAACTTTCTTTTCAGTTGTTTCTTCCATCATTTCGTTTATATAATCTGTACCTGCACTTGATTGAAATGTTAACAGCATTTTGTTACTCTACCTGTCTTGTTCCGCACCAACATTTCTCGAGCCCATCTTCTTAAGCAGTGTAACGGTATATTTGAACATTTTATTTTGTTTCTCTTTTTATTTTTATTTTTTAAACTTTTTCTTTTGAATTTATTTCAGTTTTTCACAACTAGGTGATAGTACATGTGTCTGTGTTTTGATTCACAGAACCGGATACCGACAAATCACCATCTTCGCCGACCCGACGGAAATTGCCGAAAACCCCGGTATAATACCCATACATAGGCTTTAATTGTAACAATATGTGTTGTGAACCCATAAGACATTGAGCCCAACCGCTCGCTCCTTCATAAACTCTAGTAGAGACTGTCACTCGGTGCCTACTCCTCTGCGCTTCTCGGATCATTCATTACTCTACGTGTGGTCTTCAGCATTGTGTTGTTATTAGATCATCTTCTTTTAATTCTAAGAGAGACTGTAGGCAAATTACAAAAGATTTTATAAGAATTTCAGTACCTAACATGACGAGAAGGAAGGTGATTTACAATAGATAAGTAAAGATGATCCACTAACTAGAATCATACTTGATATTCATTATTCGTTAGTTTTGAAGATGAGCTTTAAGAGACGAGCCCTAGAACGATTAAAAATGGAACAATTTGTTGAACGTTTAATGTACATATTGTGCATTGTCCACAAAATGATGTAATTAACTAAATTTGTCATCTATTAAACGTGTGACAGAGTTGATGGCGGCTCCTTAGTTCCATCGCTCGTTTCATGTCACTGAGACCACGCGAGGCGCGATCACTGCAGCTCTGCCGTCGGTCCTGTTCTGTGTCCAAACATAATCCAAAGGCACATACTTTTACGTCAGCTGTTAAAACGAATACTTTGCCTTTTGATTTTGGCTGGGTATAGGGACGGAGTGCAGGGGCTAGTCTCCATTGATCTGCTGTGATACTGTAGCACTAATCAGTCAGACATCTTCCACGTTAGCCTAGTTGTAAGAGATTAGTGTTTCTATATACGATCGTAGATGTACTTTAACTTTGTTAACCTTTACTATTTAGAGAAAGGGATGCTCTGTTTGTTTACTTAAAATATTTATACACTTACATATATTATATTTTAAACTTTATTTGTTATCTACATATATTCGTTATACGTTACCGTTTATATAATAACTATCCTAAGTGAAGTGTGTGAAAAAATGCTACCTACTTATTTTCAGATTTTTATTTTTTCTATCACCCGACCAATTTCATAATGTCGCCATCGGCTCCAGGCGGAATTAGGGAACGATCGGTAAAAACACAAATATTGATGAAAAACGTACGAATAAGTAAGTGTAGTCGGAGGCTAACTACAGTCTTAGTGTTCGATGGTAGATTAGGGGACTCGTCCCGGCATCGAATCAATTACTATCATCTATAGGATACCGTGGATGAGTAGCGCTCATTGTCTACCGACAGTACGAATATTACGTAGTGGACCTAGATTCGCCGCAGCTTTCAGCTTGCCCAATAACAACAAATTTTACATTTGTACTTATAATCACAATGGCAAAGGCACAAACATTTCACCTTATACACTGACTTAAGTGAAGAGTTAAGAAACAGCAGTGAAACAGTAAGGTAGAGGACAGCAAGGACGAAGAGGTAGCGGGCCAGCAGCAGCGAAGCGACGTCGCCAGCAGCGGCGCGGCTCCACTCCCGTTTGTACCGTCTCATATCTAGCGCATCGAGTGTCTGTTACCAAGTCTTGCTGTTGACTTAGTTTAGTGTGATGTCGCACTTGCATCGAAGGCGTTCGCAGCGAATAGAATCTCGTTAGGAGCTTGGAGTGGTGGCAGCACGGTACACCGCACTGGAACACCTTGAACGACAGGCGCGCACCGACGCTTCTGTCATGTGACGACAACACCCTACAGCGACACGATGTACATAACCGCTCTTTACTAAGTAGTTGATTGTTACGACCCAGTATTACAGTTTCAAATTTGCATGAAGTCGCACAATGTCGATAAGTGCATCTAGTATCAAGCACCGTTTAAGACATGAAGCCTTTGTGTGTGATAAACGATGTATTGAAATAATTAATGTGTATGCGTACAAGCCATATAAAATGTACAATACTTCGTCATGTCAATGTAATGGTGAAAATACACGTGTGTATCGTTAACGCTTTAAATTTTAATATGTGATTTCATTAAAAATTGTTACTTACTGTCATTGTGAATGAATGCGCCGATGCAATTCATACCATCATGCTCTGCAAAAGACACATTTCGCAACACCAAGATACCGATGTTCACTACAGTATTATATTACTCACTAAAGTAAGTCACATTTAATTACGTGGCCAGTAATACATTTTATTAAAATACATAAACTAGGCATTAACAGAGGCCATAGAATAGTGTAGAGAAAAATAAGGCTTTCTCAGTGCTTTAGAACTAAGAAAAGATAACTAACATTAAAAAATAAGTAATTTGATTTTTTTATATTGTATCCAATTTTATACACTTAAAATAGTAGAAAAAATATATCCCTTCGCTAAATACTGCAATTGGTTAAAGTAGATTTTGTTCTAGATTGCCCCAAATCCTATAAGAAGCTTGTGCAATAAACACTATATAGATATATTGTAGGCGTAGGCCACATAACAAACGAGTATCCTTAGAGAATGTTCGGGTGGACGTTTTATTTCGGCTACAGACGTAGGCACATGCAGCTTGTGAGACCGGTATCAGCATGATACAGCTTCCTGCATGGCGGATGAAAGCATCCGATTTTATTCATTACTTTGTGTTTCATAGAAATGCCTCAGCCCGACGCATGTTACTATAAAATATATTTGAAATGGATAATACATACAAGTTTTATACATTGATGGTAATATGAATGCATTGCTGTAAATCGCACAGAATGGATAACAGTATAACAAATTTCTCTCTGGCTGATGAAGGATTGATAAATAGCTGATGGTTGCTGCATGTTACTGATAAAGTACATTGCATTCCCCAAAAGTTTTATAACTGATTTAGACTTTGCATAACACATCTTGGGAAATTATTATATTTTGTTATGTTTTCATTTATGCCGACGTCACCCTGGTTTGTTTAGTAGTATTCGTAAATAAGTTGTATATACCATGTGACTGTTGTAAAAATATATTCTAAACATACATTAGGGTTATTGGCGTGCATGTTTTCATATTTATGTTATGGTCCTGTTATAGTGTTATACATAAAACGGAGCGCTCTCTCTGTGTCGTGACGACACAAACTGGTTGTAATAAAATATAACAATACAATCAAATAAAATTTGATAATTCAATAAATAAATATGTCTTACATATCTTTTTATCTGGTTGATGACTGACTGTAACTTATAATATACACCAAATTAATAACAATTATTATTATTTTTTATCATCACGCCATACAAATAAAATTATAATGACTACAAACATTATATGAAAATTTGAAACCAATAACCCTATACGTCGCATTGTTGTACAACTTAAACTGTATGACGTGATACGTCATGGATTCTGCTTTACGTTTAGGAGCAAGACCGAGCAGAGCGTGCGCGCGAGCGCCCGCCAGCTCGAGCTCAGCTGCAGGTGTGGTTTGAATGCGACCTCCGCAAGCTTGTTGTGGTGCTCATCGCGGCCGACGACTTACCGCCTCGAGACCACACTTTGGGATATGGAGATGAACCAGAAGCTTTCGCCAGAATACGGCTCCTACCTTCATTGTAAGTGTGTCTACTGCTATCCTCAATGATCATTACAATCTATTACTTACTATAATCATTATCTTTTCTCAGGGAGAGCTGCCCTCCTGTAGAAACCGACCCAGCCTCAGCTTCGTGTAGCCCGGTGTGGAATGCTACTCTTAGCTTTGGAGGTCTAACAGCTGACCTGTTGGCTGGCCGAGCTTTAGAGCTTACTTTATGGGATGCCTGCCCGGGTATTGACCCAGTTTTAATCGGAGAATGTACTGTAAGTAATGCACCTTATTCTTTGGGATTTTGTCTTTTTCTTAAATATTGAGATTTTTTATTAATTATACAACCATTACAGATGGAAATTGAAAAAGCATTCGCGGAGGAGCGTGCCGTATGGTGGACCTTAGAAGAGCGTGGACCCCGCTCAGCCAACGCTTCACCACGCGGTTCGCTCACTGGTGCGCGTGCATTACGCCGCGGAGACTTCGCCTCCCAGCGTTCAGTGTCAGGTACCGAACGCGGATCCAATCCCTCCATATCTCACTATGGTCGCTGCTCACTTATCAACTTCAATGCTAATCTTTCTTACATCTACAACTATCAGTTATCAAGCCTTCACCGTTCCCTCCTGCCCGGCCCTGGGCGGGAGAAGTCATTTGATGATTTTCCCCTCACAAAAAAGCCTTCACCGTACAAAAGAACGCGAACTTGACGCAAAAAATAAATGACCAAAATCTATGAATTTCTACAACCACAATAGAACATTACCTATTTAAAGTGACGTAGCTCGTCGATCGATATCGATAATCATGCTCTCCGCAACGAAAAATGTTACGTTCGCGCTCTTTTAAAAATGTCACTGGTTGTAGAATAGCCCTGTGGTCCCAGCTTTTCATGTCTCCCTTTATCTATGTAAAATGTGATTTATGTGATGTGTCTCTACTGTACTCTCTACATGTTCTACTTTATAATGTGTCTTTCATTTCATCTGCTTTACTGCCTATGCATTGCGGATATCGTTTAATGTTTGCTAAAAGGAAGGACCACGATTCAATGACCTGTCCACACATACCTACTTTATAATGTTATCAAGATAAGTATTACATCTCAATTTAAATACCTAAATGTGATTAGTGAGTGACAACCATTGAAAACTTTGATGTTTTAGTGTAAAATGCATGATGTATTTTGTAAAACAACCTGAACTATGATTTGGATCCGCGCTTAACGTATACCTTGACTTAGGATCCGTAGTTGCTTTGCCACAAGTCCATAAAATATACATGTGTGTTATGCTTTTCAGACGACGTCGATTCCATCGGCGAATGTGCATCTTTGCTGCACCCGGATCATGCGTGGGTGGGAGGGTCCAGACGTGGCTCCTCACAGTCAGAAACACTCGAAGTGGAGGTTTACCAGCTTGGCAAAGATTTTTCACGATCTTTACCAGGCTCTCGTCGCTCCTCATTCCAGCAACAAGAAAAGGGTAATGATGTTTTTTACAAAATTCAGGAACTTCTCGATATTTGACGTAGTATTATCTGCTACTATACTCAAATAAAAAAACTGGAGCCTATACCTATGTATTTATAAAAAAAAGAGAAATACTCATTTCTAATAATGGCGTTACACGAATCACTATTACAGTCAAGTGGGCGAGTATTAAACTACTGCAAGGTAAGCAATGTCTGTAGGTAGTACATTAGTGACGGTTGTGTAGAAGGTGGTGGCGATGTATCGCCGGCGATGAGTGCGCGACGTAACGAGCGGCGACGTTCGTCGTGCGTGCGACGCGACCCCGACGACATACTGCGCTCTTTGCGTGCTGTAAAGGGAGAGCTCGGCCGCACGCTCTCGCTCTCCGGCTCCACGGCCAGGCGTAAGTCTTTCACTTCTATTAAGCTCCCAACACAACATACTCAAGTATCCCAATATAATTTTCAATTATAAAATTAAATAAAGTATTTTCCAGCCTTTCGGACGTCGAAATGATTATAATTGCTTTCGTATAAATTTATAATTTTGTAACTAAAATATTCCCAATTCTTTATCTTTGAGTTTCAGAGATTAATGATTTCATTTCGGATACAAACTTGAATAAATATAGCATCACTCTGTAACTGACTAGCAACAATGTGTTCTTCCTTTGTAGATTCGACCCAATCACGATTAATTAAGTTATTTCTTATATGTTTTTTTACACAATTATTATACTATTACACGTCCATTTCGGCTTGTTGCCTTAAAAAAATCATGTGCGATATAAGGTGAACCCGAAATCTGTAAAGTTGTCCTGTTGGATCCCCCAGATATCACAGAAATCATTAGACAATGCGAACATTGAGGGTAGTACTGATTTGTACTGTGTTGTGCTTGTTTGGTCAGCAGCGACGGACCGTTAGCACCTCGGTAAGCGACTGCTCGTTCGTGCCCGCGCCCGCGCGTACTCCCCGCCAGGGTTTGTTCGTGCGCGGTGTTGGTGTACGCGATCCCTTGTGACGTCCGACGGCCGCCAGGTCCCGCCCGTCCACCCTGCCGCTGCAGCTATGTACATGAGGCTCGTTCGTCGCGCTCCGCCTGCACCTGACCAGCCAAGCGGGGCGCGGCTGGCGGGCTGAGTGTGCGGCGCTGAGTGCCAGGATGGACGGCGGGGCACGTAGTAGCATGGGTCATACATCGCTTGCGCGGCGGCCGCGCGCACGCACCGTTGAATGTGGCTGCGCCCGAAGCTTCTCATCACTTCACTGTGTCTGTACTGTACTGTCCTGACGCATGCCCGGCCGCGGGCGATCACGCTCACTTCATCTGTCTCTGTGTTCCGTCTGTTCGGCTGCCCGTCTACGTTCATCTTGATGGCATTGTGTCGCCTAGGATGTTTGGTTTCATTACCTCTACGAATGTCACTCATTGTTACAAAGCGCATCTATTAGATTTCTTGTAAATAATAATTTATTATCCTATTATACTTAGGCCGTAGTTCAGTTGACGTTTTATTCAATACGTTTTTTTACATTTCGAATAGGGAAGTAGAACTCAAGTATGTCAAGCGTAGGTCGCGGTCGCGCATGACGTAGCAGACACTCGCGGCTCGCCGAAGCCAGCGGTGGCATGAGTTATGTTTCGGTACTCCTCCACAAATCGCAAATTTTCTTAAACCTCAAATAAATGGCTGTTCATAACACGGAATGCTTACCATAATGAATTGAGAACGAACGCTTCAGACAACTATTAGAATTCGACTCCACTCTTGGCTGCACACGATATTACGCTTACTCTTTCATTTATGTGTTTAGGAAAGGAAAGATTCGATTCTATGTGAACGAAAACTGTATACATTTGGCACGAAGCTGTTTGACGTGCTTATTTTATGTAAATGTTTATTTTTCATCATTTTAAGTGTTCGATTGAATGGTTTACTATCGTTTTGTACTTTGGTTTATGTTACTTTTAAATGTTTAACCAACTAGAGTAAAGTTACATTTTGAAGCCCGCAAACCGTATAAATTGAACCGCATAAAAGAATGGATAATCGCTGTGAAGCGAAAATACGGGAGCGCGGAGCAGTTTCGGTGTGATAGTACGTTTTATGTGAGTGGTGCAGGAACGGCCACGGGGCGTAAGGGCAGCATGTGGGCGGCGGTGCCGGCGGCGGCGGCCTGCGACGCGCTGGCTGACGAGGAGGACGCGGTGCCGCTCGGACCAGGCCAGTTGCCGCCACGGAACGCTCATCTGCCGCCACTGCACGCTGAGATCAATATTAGCATTATTATGATCAAGGGACAACTGGAACTTGAGGTTCGACACTAGCCAATAACAACTTATTACTTCTCGAAAGTATTTTTACTGATGCTAAAAGAAACCCAAGGAATATAATATCGAACACTAGGATTTTCTCCTGTGATGCCTTTATAAACACGAATTTCAAATTCACTTTACTCCCAAACCCGGAACAACAATTTGCGGATCACAGAAAGAGTTGTACCGCGCGAGAACCAGACCTGCGACACGTTGCACTGCAGCCACCGTTTCAACCGTGCAGTAAGTTATTCAAATGAATTAATTATTGCTGCTCAATTAAAACAGGTATCTCACGCTCGTCGCGTGTATGGCGTGAATGGTGAAGTACCGGACTCGTACGTCAAGTGTTACCTGCGCGATGGGGACAAATGGCTGCATAAGCGCAAAACTCGTGTCATCAGGCGAACTACCGAGCCGCACTTCAAACAAACGCTCAAGTATCAGGTACAAGTAAGAACACGTACGGGTTTTAGCCGCACTCTTTTATATCTATTCTGTACCTAGTTTATTAGTTGCATGTCTATCATCTCATAAATAACAACTAATCAAACAAAGGAATCAGCAATACCAAGTACCAACTTTCATGACTTAACAACAAAGGAGTGTAAGTAGGTAATCCTTGTGTGATAAATGAAAGTACGAATTAACTTTTTTTACCATTTTTTGTAAGGCCACGCAACACCAACTTGAGAATAGACACCACTGTCCCATCATTTTGTTTTGTAAAATTTACAGTTACAGCCTACTATTGCACATAAAAAGACAGTTATTTCCTGAAGTATTATACGATATGCATGCTTCTTTCCTCAAGGATCATTTTTAAATTTTAAACAAATCTTTTTAATGTCACGTGTGCTTTGAAATATCATTAAGAATTCCATCGGATTGGTAGCTTTTTTGGCAGAAATTAAAACCTTGTATGTAAATGTTTAGGCGAGCGAGGCGCTAGGACGCACTCTAGTGGTGATGCTGTGGCAGCGCTGCGGCGGGTTCGAGCATAACCTAGCCTTGGGAGGTGCCGAGATTTGTCTCGACAAGCTCACGCTCCCGCAGCGCACGTACGGCTGGTACCCACTGTTCCCCGCCACCTCCTTCGCCAACGACGAGTCGCCCGACTGATCCAGGGAGCCGTCGCCGGAGCGCCGTGATGACAACTAGCGCACCTCGACGGCTCGATACGTTCCAAGATATGATTGTATTTATCTCCGCCGTGCATGTTTATTATATATATTCGCCCACAATGCTGCAAGTATTGGACTGATATGTGTGTTTATTATATTTATTTACTCATTGTAAATACTGTGGTGTAGTAGAGATCACAATGTATGTAACTTAACGACATTCTTTGCTCATTTAATTCACAGTCGAAACAACGGCATTATTGTTATTATAGTGCCTCCAGATCCAAAATGATTCCCCCTGATGTGACCTACCTTCATAATAGGAAATCCTTCAGGCACGACTTAACAACATCATCTTAGACTGTAGTTTAATGAAAAGGAGCTTATTGTAGAAAAGTGCTTCAAGTTTTTAAGTGTGTATGTTGTGTCCAAATTTGGATGTGCCTAATAAACGATTAGGCCTTTAAATATAGTAATTTATTATTAGCTCAAATGGATATTTTATTTTATTTAAATGATGAAATATCATAATGTGCTTAAATATAAAACGCATGTCTGTAGCAGTTTTCTGTTTACTATATAAATGTGTAATACCGTATAATTCAGGATATTCCGGATATTTAGCTTAGTGCAACACACTGTAGAACATTTCATGTGAAGTACAATAGACTATATATACCTACTTAATAGATATAAGGAAACAATGTGCAATGTATAATGTATATCTCTTGGTAACTATCACTTTCAAAAAACTTTCTTAGAAAGTTTCGTACGAGTTAAAGAACATTTTTCTTCTTGACTGTCATGATTCTTAATGAAATATAAAGTAATCGTTAGTGTCTCAGTACATATACCATTGAAACTATTTCTAAGTATTTAGATATTCGAACCAACACTATCTTATTATAACATACGTCATCTAATAAACCCCAACTTTGACACTTTGCCTTATATGATTAATACATTTCTAACGTTATTCTAGTGAGTAAGCGCGTCTAGGTACTATTCTTCCAAGGTTGTGCTTTAGTGAATTTCCCAAAGTATACCTACTTGTTTTACAAATCATCACTCAATACCAATGTGGTAAAAAATTATTTCTTCGTGTCAAAATTCTTATTCTACGGACTGTAAATAGTTATTGTGAAATTGTTTTTCAAAATTTTCTACGCACAACAATTTCGTGATAGAATTTATGGTAAATCTTTTATAATACCTTCAAATTCATAAAATATGTACACATTTCTGACAAATACCTTTTTAGTACATTTCAAAAGATGTTACAATACTACGTGTTTAGGAATCATGTCATAGATGTAGACCAAACATTTCTGCATTGTAATATTGATGTGATCTGTTTATATTAAGTGACGAGTGTAAGGCGAGGGCAAGCTAGTGGCCCTTAGAGCGGCACCGCCTAGCGACAAATCCCTATCGCGCCGACTCGTTTAGTTAGAACACACAAACTCATTTAGTAGATATTTAAATATTCGTGAGATAAATGATATTTTGATCATTGGTGTTAGTAACAAACTACATATCCTGTGAAAAGTACCTACGTATGTAATGTTAAATATATCTTGTCGAAATCTGTGTTCTTCCAGTGCTGTCATAGCTTAGTGGCTCACCCGACAATATTTCTCTTGCTAACAGTCACCGTAACACGGAGTGTAGACAGTGGCGCTGACACTCGGTGACGTGCGAGCGGCAAGCAGAGCCTCTAAATCACTCCAAAGAGTTACGGTGCATCGTTTTATTTTATTTATCGTGGTTGTACATTTCCCAAGAGAGAGAAGTATTTATTAGAGAGATCTAAATATTCACTTATAGATTAACTACTTAAATATTAAAATACTCGAATAATTCAAATGCCTAAATATATATCAGGTATTAAGTATATTTTTACACTATCATTTTTGTATTCAATTAAGTTGAACAAAATATACATAATATTTATAAATGTATCAATGAAAATCTAGATATTTAATATTGTAACTATCAATTCTGACAAAGTGTTAGAATCGATCTACTTACGCTTATTATCTTGATATGTTAGAATTAATGTAATATTCTTACGTAAGTGAGTATGTATGTAAAACGTAATCTATGATGTGCCTCGATGAGCCCCGATACCGGCGGTCACACGTCCCGCGCCGTGCTCGCCACAGCCCGACTTGTAGTCCAAGAGCCCGTGAGAGCCAGACCTTCGGATTTTTATAAAAGCTAAGAGTTCTTCTGTGTATGTCCCCAATACAGGTAAGAAAGGTCCCCACCCATGAAACCTGGGTAGTGGTGGCTTTGGCAGGTAACAGGTAGCAAAAGTGTATAAAATTCCACCTCAAATTTATTAATTTATAAAACTCAATTTTTTTATATTTTATTCGTGATAATATTAAAACTCGCGTTGCTCATTGCCAGACACTTAATATGGTTACAACCCTCTGCCGGACACCCCTGAACTATTATAATTTGTAACTATACTTACGTTATATTATAAAAGCTAAATTTTATATATGTTTTTTGGACAACTATTAAATATTGTTTCCTTAATAGCCAGACAATTTCGAGGGTTACATCGTCCAGCCAGACGTATTAAATGTGTACAATAGTTATGAGTGAGAGGAGTATATGCAGCAACGGGTGCGAGTGAGATAGAGCGTGCAGTCTATTGCGATTTTTTACTGCGCATCTACTGTTTTTAATTCCGAATTTTTCAGTAACATTTTTTCTAATTTTTTGGAGAAATTTCATTGAATAAAATTAATACAGTCTGAATAATAAATTTTTAAAGTAATATTCCGAAAAATTTTATAAAAATATATTAATCATATCAAAAATCTAGTAACTCAATTGATGTTATTTTTTAATTTTATAAAGTTTATTATATTCAATTCAAATGAAATTTCAAGGCCATAATAATTTATTTGTTAATTGTACGAAAGAATAATTTCTTTGTGAGTTAGAAATTTACAGAAAAATAAATTCATTTAAATTAAACATTCAAAAATCTTTTTCATTGTCATCGTTGATGTTGACATTTTCATTTTCGTCGTCACTGCTACTCCACTCCCTAAATTCATCGTTATCAACATCGTCTTCTTCGCCTGCTTCTGCAATAGTAAAATCAAGTTAATTTAATTTTAATTAGTCACAAATTAATGTAAAATAATTTATCATAATTATTATATACCTGATACAGTTTTTAGAGATTCACTGACATAATTTGGTAGTTGATCTCCTTCAAACCATTTAAAATGGTATTCATCATTTTCCAGAATCCAACCATTATTTACTGGCTCATATGTTGTAGGGTTTTTTAAATGAGCATTATTCCAGATACAACATATATAATTTGCTCGCAAAAATTGCTGTAATAGCTCACTTTTACAAGGTGGTAAACTACTTGCGTCGAAATTTCGCAATTTTTTTCGATTAAAAGCTTCGTTCACATCAGACACTGTATAAGAATCGATAAAAATTTGTAGTCTAGCAGCATCAACATCATTTATATTCTCAACATTGTATAAATAGCATATAAAACTTTGAATAACATTATAAAGGTCTTGTTGTTCAATATTATCTTCGATGATTTTGCTGTCACCAAACTTCATGAAGGCTTGCTGAAATTCTACGTATTTTTTAAATATCTTATATGGTTTCAATTTCGCTTTTCTAAAAAATGAAGGATTGTAATCACATCCTGTAATTGCATGTAATCCAGGTAAGCTTCTACAAATTGATTCTCCCAATTTTTCGTATATCTTAGTTAGGTTCACATACCTCAAATTATTTCCAGTTCCTGTAAGCATCCAAACTTGCGACTCATCATTTAGACGGTGCATATGACCCAGCATTATAGCAGCAACATCAGTATCAATAGTTCGGATTATAATGTTTGCTTCATAGTTGATTTTGCACGCATGGTACACTATCTTGGTATCTGTTTCTTCATGCTCCGGGCATGACAATTCCTCAGTGATACTTGATATAACTTTGTTTGTCTCATTAACCATGAATGAATGACACTTTCTGAAATTGATATGTATTATTTTGCCACCAATAAACGGCGCCATTTCCAAAAAATCAACTAGAACTTCTTTAAAATTTGAATTTTCTCCTCGGTAAATATTATTAGGTCTTCGCCACTTTTTTTACAGACAAAGCAAACTACTTTTACTTCTTCTTCACTCATGATAACTTTTTATTACAATTATTAGATCACATTTATTTTATAAATTACACAGAAAAATAATACAACGTTTAATATACGTTTGATGTATGTTTACTATGAGGATAACCGCGCACTACATAATACACAATGAGCAGCTGATGCGCAGTAAAAGTCGCAATAGACTGCACGCTCTATCTCACTCGCACCCGTTGCTGCATATACTCCTCTCACTCATAACTATTGTACACATTTAATACGTCTGGCTGGACGATGTAACCCTCGAAATTGTCTGGCTATTAAGGAAACAATATTTAATAGTTGTCCAAAAAACATATATAAAATTTAGCTTTTATAATATAACGTAAGTATAGTTACAAATTATAATAGTTCAGGGGTGTCCGGCAGAGGGTTGTAACCATATTAAGTGTCTGGCAATGAGCAACGCGAGTTTTAATATTATCACGAATAAAATATAAAAAAATAAAGTTTTATAAATTAATAAATTTGAGGTGGAATTTTATACACCTTTGCTACCTGTTACCTGCCAAAGCCACCACTACCCAGGTTTCATGGGTGGGGACCTTTCTTACCTGTATTGGGGACATACACAGAAGAACTCTTAGCTTTTATAAAAATCCGAAGGTCTGGCTCTCACGGGCTCTTGCTCTATTGTGATATGGTATCGGATATCATACTATGTACCTTCCTTACTTTAGCTATAGTTATATATCGTTTCTTCCTAGAACACGATCATTTCCACATTCCGTGCCTTGATATACGCTGAAAATTACACGCTTTCACAGGCCTCTGCAAATATTAGAAATAACTTTTGGCCTAAACCGCTACCACCGATACAATAATGTATGTATCCGATAATAAATTGACCCCATTTTTCTTGCACCCACTTTTCAGCATTAATCATAGGAACGGAATGAATCTCTACAAATACTAGTACG